CTCGCTGTTGTCGTCGGTGTGAGTTTTCTATCCTGCTTAACTGCCGTTACATTAAGATGTGTTCGAACACGTTCGAACCTGTGATTCTTTTGAGAAACGTACCTTTTGATACTTTGATGAAAGGGACGCAAAAAAGGTTTGAATCCAAGTAAAATGAACAGAGAGAGAGAAAAAGAGAGAGAGAAAGGGAGAGAGAGAGGGAGAGAAAGAGAGAGAGAGAGTTTTCCTAACCTTAATAGTGGTCAACTTTGTCGGCTAATATTTTGCTTTGCAGTACGAGCGACGAGTTTATCAGATAAAAAAGTCATTTCTCGTGCAAAAACGCGTCAATTGAATTTACTTTCATCGAAAGGTGAGGGGTCTAAACTGAATAATTACCGAGAACAAAACTTTTTCTTTTTCAGAAAAGCTAAAAATATGGCATTATTTGCGACTAATAAAGAAATTACTCCGACACAACTGCAGCTTGTATTGCACGAGGATATAACGTGAATAAATTAACATTAAATTTCTGATTAATAACATTTGCGTTAGTTCATGTAACATTCCTATTATAGGTGTTAACTTGTAGTTATTAAATAATATATATAAACAGAATACTCATAACAACCTATCATTAAACATCTGTTAGTTGTAATTCCTGATTGAACAATATAGGTTTTATACAACCTGTGTGTTATACAATAAGCTGAGAGATATTCCAATTCATGTAAAAAATCTTAAAAAATTGTGAGAATTTTCTGAGATTCTGAGAAATCTTTCCACCAAAGATATATTTATTGTATTTGATATAATTCTATTTTGTATAATGTCAGCTATAATACTAATGTCTACATTATATTGATAATTGTTTAATATGTATATAAATTAGTATAACGTATAAAATTGACTTACTAAGCACATTTTGTACTAATTATATATTTATTGATATACATATTAAGTAAACAGTATAAATTTAGTCATTATTATTATCAAAAACATTCTCCCAGATATATCCAGACTATCTACCATAATCATCACTAATACATTTGTAAAATATACGTGCGATATATCTTCCGGGGTTTTCCTGTACACGGCAATAATCAGAGATCTCAGAGATATCATACAAATATAATATATTTCGCTACAATATGCGATATTTATACGTGTTCGTAACTACGGACATTAGTATATTCTAGTAATATCTCTCATATATTCACGACTTCTATGGGATATCTGTAAGATATTGCAATATCCCGGCAGGATATCTTTAGGATCCCTTATAGAAATTTAATACTGATAAGTAATAATTTGGCCAGTGATAACTACTGTCGTTCAATAATTGTATTACTCGTACGAGTAATAAAATTAGTATTTATTATTGGCCAATTTATCACAGCCAGTGATACTTTTCTATAAGGGAAATACCACAGATTTCCCTTTGCTGTGTGGGGATGCCCGATTTTTAATCGATTCGATTCTTTCCCTAACAAATTTAGGGAAAAAGGGTTGCTCGTGCTGCTTGCATGTTTCATACTTTTCACTTTTAAAAAGAGATGGACACCTAATCAGAAGCTTAGAAGAAACAATTGAGTTGGTTGTCTCGTTTTTGCTTCTTCGAAACATTTCAATATACTTCTGTCTAGTTTTAAGTACGAAAAATGCGAAAAGTGCAAACATCACGAATAAACCTATTTTTGGGGAAAAAATCGAATCGATTCAGAATCGGGCATCTCTAGTGAAAAGAATTCTTTTTGTACCTAAAAATGGACTCAGAATTGGTAACATACGACTGAATTCTTTTAGAATTTTCTGTGCTATCTGGGCACCTTTAAAATTGGAATGAGTCCGAGATGCGCACATTGACAAGCGGACACATCCAATCATATGTCGTTGTTTATAGAGTCTCTAGAATATCTCTAGGTATACGGTGTTGTGGTTGGCTGTGTCCGTTTGTCAATGTGCGCATCTGAGACGCTCCCTAAAATTGTGCCATTTTTCTGTTTAACTCCATATCTAAAATTAATATGTAATCTATTTTATCTGAATAACTACAATCATATCATAATTACTTTAATTATATTGAATTTTACTTTAACAAGAATTTTATCTTACAGGCATTTTGCTATTAAGTTATTATGCTGCTTGTTTATTTATTTAAAGATTCCAACCTTTCTTATTCGTGTACGTCGCCATATTGCACTACACCACTACCCTAGCTCGAGACCTAGGGCAGGCAGTACAGTATCTTGTTGTATTGGATGGGAGCGGTGCATTTGGACACGGTGCATTTGGACACAGCCAATCACAGCACCGTATGATTAGAGACATTTGTAGGGTCCCTTGGAACAGCGACTTGTGATTGAACTGTGTCCAATTGCCCCGTGTCCAACTGATATACACCCGTATTGGATGCTTTCCAGAGCCCCTATTCTTGAAATTTTTGCGTATACGTAATTTTCATTGCGCAGCTATTTTATGGTATGATTAAACCTGCGCAGTAAAACTTATGTATACGCAACTATTTCAAGAATAAAGGTGCCAAAACATGGGAGCGTTCCAGCATCGAGCGTTAAAGCGTTAACCAATCAACGTCAGATTCCAGAAGTATACCTGTAGTTCTTGCGGAAAGTGACACGTTGATTGGCTACCGCTTTAACGGTCGACGCTCGATGCTCGCATGTAAAGGCACCTTAAGGGCCTAGTTGCGTACGTTACACAAAGCCAGTTTATTGGTTACATATTATCTTACAAGATATTTTAGATAATATGTGACCAATAATCTGGCTTTGTGTACGTGTGTGTCATGTTATGTTAAGCAATTGGAAAGCACCCACTGAGTACTGTTGCACTGAGGAAAAGAACAGCGATGATGACGTCATAAAGTCGCCGTAATCGTTGAAAAGAACACTGCTTGCACTAAAGTGCCGCCAGTGCAGAGGAAAAGAATAGACTCAAGGGCTATGTTCAGATACCCATCCTACTCGATGGGTAGAGTTACTTTAATAAACCAATCATAATAAATAAATCTTAGTTCCTTTTGCTGTGATTGGCTAATTAAATGTTACTCTACTCACCGAGTAGGGTTTCTGACAATATGTGACAATATCCACTTTATCACACCTTTTAGTTCAAACAACACTCAAAGATACGCTTACTAATACAGCCAAAAATTTGATTTGGCGTAACGAAAATAGCGTAAAGAGTAGAGATGCCCGATTCTGAATCGATTCGATTCTTTCCCCAAAAATAGGCTTATTCGTGTTGTTTACTTTCTTCGCACTTTTCGTATTTAAAACCAAACAAAAGTATATTGAAATGTTTAGAAGAAGCAAAAGCAAGACAACTAACTCGATTGTTTCTTCCAAGCGTCTGATTAAGCGTCCATCTCTTTTTAAAAGCGAAAAGTATGAAACATGCAAGCAGCACGAACAACTCTTGTTCCCTAAATTTGTTAGGGAAAGAATCGAATCGATTTAGAATCGGCATCTCTAGTAAAGAGCACAAAATAACTAGGCGAAAACTGGTATTTAAATGAGATGATGTGATTGGTTGGCGCAAGTTACGCTTACGCAAGTTATGCCGCATGGGGAGGCACCCTGGGGTGCGTTCGAAAACACTGAAAGTCCATGACGGAAAGTGGCTGTGATGGATGGGCTTGGTGGGGTTAGTGGAGTTGGTATCGAGAGGAGTTTTCGAACAGCCATGGAAGAATGCTCAATGTGACATACTACATGTGTGTTGTGCCTACATATGTTGTACAAAATGATCGAAAGCGTATTTCGACATTAGCTATAATTGCTTCTCAGCAAAATAATAATAAATTAATAAATTTAGTAATTAATTAATTAATTAATTTAGTAATTATTAATTTATAATTTAGTTATCTGGAAAGTTAATTGATTATATATTCCTCGGTCCGAGAACTCGGATCGATTTCTAGCATCGTGGGCACCAGGCCTAAGGAAATTTATAAACTTATTTATTACTCCTTACCTTTAACATCGTATATATAGACATTTCCCTTGTCATCCTTTTGTATATTTTTTTAAATATCCATGCATAAAATATGACGACCCGGGATTAAATTTTCCATTTTTTTTCACAAATTGTTACTGATTCGTGACTTTTAACGTGCCTCGTATCTCGTAAGAAAATTTCAGAACCTATAAAATACAAAAAGCTTAATAAGCTTTATTTATATTTAAAGACAATATTCTGACAATATACATCACTATAGAAATAAACCTAAACCTGGCTAACCTACACTGCTGTATTTAAATTTTTTATCTTACCGTGATGGCTAATGGTTGTACGAATGTTTCGAAGAACAAAAAACCATAAATAATTTAGTAATTTCATACTGTATTGCACTCTTTGCGCACTCTCCACCATCTCCACCGATTCACACCGCGCAAAAGAGAGTGGAGAAAAGTCACACGAGTGGTCCACGGAGTACGGTTTTCGAACGGCCATGGTCGCATGGTCAGTGTGCCCACTAGGGGTTTTCGAACGATCTGAGTGTGACAAAATACACACGGATGATGTTTTCGAACGCACCCCTGATAGACATCGCTCTAGTGTTTTCAATCGAATTCGTCACATGATTAAATTTCCCTAGACATAACAGTGTTTTTAATTCTGACAATTACCACGGAATGTGGTAGCTTGACTTGTCAGTGAACCGAATAGAGGGGGTGGGAATAATAAAACGTTAGGCGTGTCGGCATCTGTTTTTTACGCTTGTTACAACGAGAAATGCCATAGTTTGGCAGTCGTCGTAACCGTTACATTTCAGCGCCGTGAAAAGCAGTGTTTGCAGATTGATTCCTCGTAAAAGTGGAATGTTAATGGTGCACATTATCACGGCACGACGACGCGATAGTGCCCCCGTGTGATCACGACTGTGTACTTTAACGAGGCGAATATTTCTCAGGTAACACAAACGCGTCGTTTCACGTCGCGTTGTGTTCCGTCGCGTACATGTCTCCGTCGTTCGTCCAAGTTCGAAGGAGGGTATGCTCTTATGGGGTAGCAAGTGGGCGGTAGCCTTTGCCGGGGAATGGAGACGGAGAGCGTAAAGTCCGGGGCTAGTGAGCATAGCCATAGCCACCACAGCAGGAGCTCCCAGAAGCATCATCGATCACACAGCTCGAAGCAGCATCACAGGCAACACTCTCATCGCACCACTAGGTGGGTTCCATGTATAAAATCCTGAAAGAATCGGTATTTAAGATAGTTATATTCTTAAGTATTTTCGTAGAGCATCACAAGAGGATCAATTATAAATTTACCATTTATTAAACATTTAATAAATTTACCATTTCTTAAACCATTTTTATTAGTACTTTATGCATTAGTTGATTCAATAGAGATGCACAGGTAATAGGAATATATAATTGTATAAGTTTGTATAAATATATATATATATATATATATATATATATATATATTTATATACATATATATATATTTTTTTTATATTATAAATTATGAATTTTCTATCAGTGTATTTTCAAAGTAAAATAGTCAACATTCCTGAAATTTATGTAGAATTTATATTAGTCTTTAATACTACAGTATTTTTTCATCAATATCTCATATATTTTAGAACATATTAAAAATAACAGGTTTGTTTTTTATTCCTGCACTGGGACTGCACTAGAACTGAAATGATCTGAACTAGTATAAGCCAGAACTGATGAGTGTAAGCATGCAGTTAAGCCAGCGGCACACGGTGCTTGTTTTCGTGCTGAATTGCTTGCTGGATGGAAATATTCTGTTTTGACTTGTGTATTTCCATCCATCTTCAGAAATGCACCAATCAGCAAGCAATCCAGCATGAAAACAAGCATCATGTGCTACTGATTTTAGGCAATAAAGAACATTTTAGTGCACAAACAATACGGTACACTACATTGCTTATATTGATATTTATATTTATATTTCTTAGATCCTATTTTTAGTCTCCATCTTTTAGTTATCAGGTTCTATGCGTATAGAAATCACTATTTCGTATACTTACTTTTTGTAAATAAAGAAAAAAGACATTCTTATTATATTTTATGAAAATTACTACTAATATATATATATATATATATATATATATATATATATATATATATA